GAGCCGCACGGCAGTGAGTTGGGGACGCCCTGCACCCGGCACGCTTCGTCCTGGCTGTCGCCCTGAGGCGGCGTCGCCGTCGTCCGCCTGGCCGCGTGAGGCGTGCAGCGTGACGTCCGCCTGTCGTCCGCCTGCGAGTCGGCGTGACGCCTGAGCGTCTGCCTGCCTGTCGTCCGCCTGCCTGGGCCGCGTGACGCGGGGCGTGAGCGTCGCCGTCCGCTGCATGCCGGCCGCCGCGTGAGGCGCCGGGGGTGCATGTTGTCTGGCGGCGCGGCCGGCGCCATGCTGGTGTGTCAGGCGGGCAGCGTGCTGTGCGGCGGGTCCGTGGGGCGCGAGCGGGAGCCGCCGGCCCGACCCGCCACCCCGCCCCCACCCAGTGAGTATGGCGCGCGCGGCCGGAGAGGCAGAGGCGAGCAGGTTTGTGTGGCGGACTGGGGGGGGGGGGGGGTCACAGAGGGATGGCTGGGCACGGGGTCACTACTGGACAGAGGTGGCGGGGTCAGGCACCAGTCGGCTAATTCGGGGATGTGGGGTGGGGCGGGTCCGAACCTTGGGAACCGTCCGCCGGCCGTGGCTAAATGGACACGACCTTGCAGCCCGGCAGCAGAACCCCTACACGGCATTTAAAGAAGGCGACGTTGTAAAGTAGCGTCATTTAAAAAGGTCTCCATTGTTTCCCGAACACTTCAGCTTGTTGTTTGTCACTCACTTTGATTGTATCCGCGGTGATTTAGCCCCGCTCCTGTGTGACGCGCGCCGCTGTTAGTCGGTCGCCGAACACGGCCCGCCCTCGATCCTGGTTATGCCGGGCGCGTCTCAGCCATTCCGGGCAGCATGGGACCAATGCCTCGCGTGTCTCCGGTTGACGGCTCGCGCGGGACTTGGGAGCCCCGGCGCTCCGTGTTCGGCCGTTGTTTGAGTGAGCCCGTGGGGTCCGCGTCGAGTATCGCTGGTAAGTTTCCGCCGCCGCCGTGGTCTCTCGGAGTCGCCGTCCCACCGCAGCGGCCTCCTCGGAGTCCCCGTCCCACCGCAGCCTCTGCAGCATGCCTGCCGGAACCGCTCCCCGCCCGCCCCACTGACACAATCTCCACCCCGCGTCGCCGCCTCAGCCTGCCGCGCGCGTGCGCTGCACGCGGCCGTTGCACGCCGGCCTGTGTTGCACGTCGGAGCGCGCCTCCACTGCCCGACGAGTGACGCCGCCGCCGCGGCGCGGCTCGCCGGCGGGAATGCAAACCGGGCGGCAGTCGGTCTTTAAGCCGGTGTTAGCGTCGGCGGCATGCGCTAATCACGCTGCGAAGTGCACGTGCGCCATCCTTGTGCACCCGTGCAAGCCCCGTGCACCGTGCCGGTGTGTTGATGGACTGCGGTGTCGGCGTCCGTGCGGCGGCGCCGCGGCGTCTGCTATGACCCCGGGCTATCTGCGTGTTGTGGCCGGGACGGGTGTCGGCGGCGCCGGTCAGGCCGCGTCTGCCGGCGGCGTCGACCCTGGCTGGGTCGTGGGCTGATACGGACGTGGAGGGGAGTGTCCGGGAGGTGGGAGCTGGTGGGACGGCATGCTCTGACGCGGTGTGGCTGGACGCCCGTTCTGTGGGCTCGGCTTGCCTGTCGTGAGATGCTCACGACGCCGCTTCGCCGTCGTCGTGAAGCAGCCGTGGCCGGAGTGCTGGGGCCCGAGCAGCGGCGGCGGCGACGACGGAAGCGCCGTCCAGACCGCGACAGTTAACCGCAGGGTTTGGGCTAAAGGGCAAGATGGGCAGTGTCGTCCACGGCGTCGTCACAGGTGGCGATGCCCGACGTCCCTACGTCTCAGAGATCTCTCAGAGATCTCTCACGGAGGTCTCACCGCTCACCTCTCACCTCTCACCGCTCTCTCACCGCTCAGAGATCTCTCACGGAGGCCGCTGGGCTGTGGTCGCGCTGGAGACTTCCGAAGGCAAACGATCCCGCGTCAGGTGACGGACCGGGCGGCCTTCAAAGATGACGCAGGGCAACCCCGGAAAGAATCGGCGTTTGCTGACTGTGAGCTCCTACGTTCTGCGCGCGCGTAATAATGGCAGCCTCTGTGTGACCTCCGGGCTCAAATCGACGCGACGTTGTCATATTGGGCCCGGTGATTGCTTCCCGCGGGGCTCACCGGCGGCGGCGTGGCGAAATGCTGTCCTGATATAGTGGCCGCTCGGCGCTGGGCGTGGGTTATTAAGTTTCCATCCGCCTCGGTGGAACTACCATACACCGCAGCGGCTGCCGCGGTCTTTGCGGCCGGCCTCGCCGCACTTTCCGCGGCAGACGAACGGAGCGGTGATGAGGGGGGCGCACGCTTAACCGGCAGGAACTCGCTTGTGACAGCGGGCCAGCTGTGTGGGCGTGGGGCGAGGCGTAGTGACGCGAGTGAAGTGACCCCGCCCGCCGCCGTGCCGTCTGGCCCGAGAGGCGACGCCAGAGCGGACTGTGACGAGCTGGCGTCCCAGGCGCCCTCTTGTTTACCGCGGTCTGGCTACGCGCCAGCGACGGCGCGTGCCGGTCACGTGGCGCGTCGGGTCAGAGGTGGCGACTCGCCGCCAGCCGTCTGTGCCCCGGGGCGATGTCTGGCGGCGGCGACCTTGGGCTTGTTGACGCCTGACGAGCGGCGTCGTGCGTTAGATCACGCGCGACGGGGGATGACACCAGAAGTTGGCCCGCGAGCTGATCGACCGAGAGCGAGCGCTTCAGTTGCGGAGCACGGTCAAGCTGCCCTCAGCTGATTCCATGACGCGGTTCGCGTACGTTCTCAGCGCGCGGCTATCACCGGGCGCCGGCATGCGGATGCGAGGTGGACCGACCGGTCCGGAGCGCGTGTTGACATTCCTCCGCCGGAGATGAGCTCGCCTTCGGCGGCCGCCCCGGCCACCGGTCCCGGCGGCGGCCGTCCCGGAGCCGCAGCTGAGCCGCGCCCCGCGCCGTGCCTGGCACGGCCTGGCGCGCCGGTCGCCGGCGCCGCGGCCGCGCCGGCGACCGGCTGGCTGCACAGGCGGACAAGCGGAGGCGGCGCCGTCAGAGGTCCAAGAAGCTGCGCAGACGCGGCGTACAGAATGCGCGGGCTCCGTGGCGCCAGTCGTCCATGTCGCGCTGGACCTTGGACGAGCCGCGTCGCTCACCGCTGCGTCGTACCCCCGTACAGGGCCGCAGACGTCCGTCACGTGACGGTAACGGGACCTGGGGGCGGCGCAGTAATGGTCCGTGAACTCGCGGGTCCGCGCGCAGGCTTCTGGGAGGACAACGGATGCTGGTGATGACCGTGACGGGGGGCGGTGGCTGTGGTGAAGAGGCTCGACCCCGCTGTCGGCGGGGTCCGGGCCTCGGTCAACATGTTCAGACGCCTTGCGCGCGCCGCTTTGTTCAGCAGCGTCGGGCCGGCTTGCTCGGCGGAGTATCCCCGGGCGGTGGACATCGATTTCGGCGCCGTGTTGATGGCCCGCTGTTTGCCGTTAGGGTGTGGTGACTGAGAAGGGCTGGCTGATGGTGGGACAGAGCTAGGCGGGGAGAGACAGGACAGTGGAAGGAGAACGAGGCTTAGCGTAAGATGAGAAAGAAGACAGATTATTTGGACGGAATATGCGCGAGAGCGAAGGGAAAGGCGAAAAAAACATGCCAGAGGAAGGTTATAGATTTAAGGATATAGGGAGAGGGAGACGTGAATAATTGTGCGAAGATGTTAAGTGTAGGAGAGGAGGTAAAACAAAATTGCCACAAAAAAAGACAAGGTGAAATGTAGTTTAGGTACGAATTATGGAGGATTAGTTTGGCATTCAGTGGATTATAATACCATTCGCGGCGGCGGTATCCACGCACGTAAGGTAACCTAATGAGGCCCATTAAGCTTACGCATCGAGGAGAAAGGCTGTTTTCTACAGAAGAGAGCTGTCTGCTCTCAAGCGACGCGAAGAAAATATCCGGCCGGTGTTTTCGCGTCCAAGGCAGATGGGTGAATGCTGCGCTCGTCCTGTCCAAGTTGCTTGCGCCACATCAGATGCTGCAAGACTTTTTAGCGGTTTAATGGCGGCATTTGCAGTTTTGCAGCGCGCGAGGACCTCCGGCGTGGTTTTGTGCCGCTGCGGATAATTGTGAGTGGCTAGATTTATTTGTTTGTTTTGCGCGGCTGTTAGAAGGGAGGTGATTAATTCCGGCTGTCAAGCTAAGTGTCTGTGACCATTGCGGACTATCCTCATCGCACATTACCTCCAGCTCCCAACTGCGTAAATAACACGGCACGTTTACGAGTTACGGCTGTTGATGAGGGGAAGGAGACCACCTCGTTCGAATGCTGACGTCTGTGAGAAGGCGCGACCCCTGGTGCGCGGCAAGGCTCCCAGACCCCCAGGGACGGCGACAGTGCGACAAGGCGGAGGGCGGGACCCATCAGCCGGTGCCTGCTGTGTCCAGGCGTGCCGTGGAGTGTGCGAGGGTGTGCTGTGGAGTGCTGCGAGCCGGCGGTGCCGCGGCTCTCTTCTCAGCACGAACCGGCGTTGTGCTTTGAGCCGCGAAGCTCCAGCACGTCCACGACCATCTCGGACGGATGACCGACCGGCTTGACATCGGTCTTGTCCTTTTTTTTTGGGGGGGGGGGGCTTAAACGGGCCACTCAGCTAAGGTGGCCAGTTTCGTTAAACACTTGAGAGAACACAGACGTAATGGCCTCGGCGAGTGCAGCCCACAGACCCCTTCGGACTATGTTACGATCAGCGCCCTATATATATATATATATATATATATATATATATATATATATATATATATATATATATATATATATATATATATATATATATATATATATATATATATATATATATATAGGCCGGCTCAGGAGTACGGTGACATCAGGTCGCTTCACCGAATGCACTCCCGAGACGATGGGAAGGTAAGGCGGGCGATGGTCGGACGTGGCCGGGTGCTGTCGACCGCTGCTGACGGCCAGCTGGCTGACCGCTGCTGACGGGTATGCTTCTCCGCTGTTTCAGATTTAACTCCTGAGGAGCAGCAGCTGCTGCTGGACATCAGGAGGCGCAAGGCCGAGCTCCTCCAGGAGATTCAGGTGAGGCGCGCGATCTCCATGTGTGTTTTTTTTTTGGGGGGGGGGGCAGGAGAGAGATGCCTCGTCCATGTTCTCGAGACGCTTGCTGTGACTGAGAAAGCGGGGCGCCAACTATCCAGAAGACGAACTCGCCCAGTTGCTGTCCGCTGTTGACGAGCGAGTTTAGTGGAACGATTGAAGCGCGGGCGGCAGTTTGACTCGGGTCGGGTCGGCTCCGCGGCCCGCTGCATATTGTCTGATCTTCCGGCAGTAGGCCGACGCCGTAGGCGGTGGTGCCGGCTCCAGAGCCAGCTGACGGGTCAGTCTCCGGCACCGGGGCTCGCCCGACGCCGGCCGGTGTCGGACCGACACTGACCGGCGACGGGGCAGCTGCCGGCCGGGCTCCGCGCCGCCCGGTCGGCTGGCCTCCAGCCGTACCCGGGCCGCCGGCGGTGGTGCCGGCTCCAGAGCTGGCTCTCGAGTCAGCCTCCGACACCGGGGCTCGCCCGACGCCGGCCGGTGTCGGACCGACACTGACCGGCGACGGGGCAGCTGCCGGCCGGGCTCCGCGCCGCCCGGTCGGCTGGCCTCCAGCCGTACCCGGGCCGCCGGCGGTGGTGCCGGCTCCAGAGCTGGCTCTCGAGTCAGCCTCCGACACCGGAGCTCGCCCGACGCCTGCCGGTGTCGGACCGACGCTGATCGGCGACAGGGCAGCTGCCGGCAGGGCTCCGCGCCGCCCGGTCGGCTGACCTCCAGCCGTACCCGGGCCGCCGGCGGCCCCGTCAGCGGGCGTCCGTCGCCGGAGATTTACCGCCGGGCCGGCCTGCAGGGCTCGGCGCCGACCGTCCGCTGTCGGCGCGCGTCCAGCCCGGGCTGACGGATGGGCCGTAATTGTCACCGGTCCGGCGGGGACGGGGCGCCGGCGGCTGCCGACCGGCCGGCGGCGGCGGTGCCCAGGTGACCTGGGGCCACCGCACGGCGCCGGGGCGGGCAGGGTGGACCGCTGGCGACAGCTGGAGGGGTGCAGATGACACGCGCCGTCCCCGCTGTCGCTGGCTGCCGCCTGGCGCCCCCGAGAGGAGGGGCCGCTCTGTACAGGTGGAGGACGGCAGGGCATGATGGACCGTGTCGAGCGCCGGTGATTAGCCGTCTGGCACGCTGACAGAGAGGTCGGCGTCGGTGCACTCACCGGGAAGACAGGTGACAACAGCACGTGTCCGGCGCCTCTGATCTACCGTCTGACGCGTGGGCAGGGAGGTCGGCCTCGGTGTACTGGCGGGGAGGACAGGTGACGACAGCACGTGTCCGGCGTCTCTGATCTACCGTCTGCCGCGCGGACACCGGACACATGAGCCTGCGGTCACTCTTGTGTCTCGCGTAGCCCTGGGAGCAGGGGCAGGGTTGGCGTTGCCCGAGCTCGCCCTTTGTCCGCTTAAGTTTGCCCTGAACTCTGGTAACGCACACGAACAAATTACTTTAATGAGGGGTAAGTTTGACATGAACACTCTGGTAACGCACACAAAGAATTCACTTGAGAAAAGGGCTAATTTTGACATGAGGTCTCTGACAACGCACACAAACAATTTACTTTAAAAAGTGTCCTTCTACTGTTTAGGACGTTGCTACACCGCTGGCCCAGGCTCGTTTATGGGGGCGGCGGGCTCGTTTGTGTGGCCGGCGGGGCCAGGCTCTGGCCTTCAGTCCAGTATTGTCCTGGCTCCGTTCAGTATCTGTCGGTTGCCATTTAGCAACTTGTCGCTGATCTCTGGCCGCCCCTTGACCGCCTGGACCATTTCGGTGAAGCTCCCGCTCCGCCGTCCAAAGGTAAAATCCCATACGTTAATGGTTGGCTATTTCGCGTGCTTTATGCCGTCTGATTCGTCTGCTCATGCCAAATTTGGTTATTTCAACTGTCAGTTGAATGTTCACAAACTTAAAGCCCTTTCTGTTAGCCAAGAATTTGTGAAAATTTCAACTATTGGCTTAAATATCCGAATTCAGCATGAGAAGACGAATCAGACAATTACGATAAAATACGAAAAGTGGTCAACAATGAACGCATGGCGTTTTCCTTTGCACGGCAGCGCTGTTTTATGTCAGCATTTCTCTCGTTTTGTAGATCACGCAGACAGTTTCTCTGCCTCCTCTGCGCGTTCTTTGCTATCACTGCACGTCTCGGTCCAATTTGGGTCTGATTGGATGACATTAAGTCTGCCATGACTCTCCGCCTCCTGTGCCTATCACAAGCTGCTGTAAATCCACCACATGTGTTCTACCACCACACTGCTGCAAATCCACCACAAGCTGCTCTCTTTTTCCGGCTGACCTTCATTGACTGGTCGCCGGCGAGCGAGCCGGTGGGCGGTGACCAGACTGACGATTGTTCCACTTTGTTTAGAAATTCTCCCGTATATGCCTGCCAGGACTGGCACTGACGCGACAGCGACTCTCAAGAGGGAAGGGACTCGCTCCGAAGACGACGCCAATTACAAGACGTTTTGCTGAAAGTAGGAAAGACTCCGCTGTGTATCGTCTTGGGAGGTCCTTCCCCGCTCTTGGGATTTCATGCGCGAGTCAGCTCTGGAAGCCGTTTTCTCGCCGATCCTGCTTGAAGGCCGAGCAACGATCAGCAGCCAGGCGGAGCTTGCTGATCCAGCTGATCAGCACCGGAGGTCAGAGGTCAGGCTGTCGGCGGCTGACCTCAGCGGTCCGGTTTGGGCGGCCGGACCCCCGGCTGCCGGCCGTCACCGGCGCCGCTCGTGACCGCCGCTCCGAGCCTCGGCCCGCCCGGCCGTGCGTGCAGTCGGCTCGGGAGCGGCTGTGCGGTAGCGGCGCCGTGGCCGGCGTCGCCGTCCGCGTCCTCCGGCCGACGCGTCATCACCGCTGCCTGATACCTGTCCATTGGCCAGCGCCGGCGCGGAAGACGGCGGGCCGTTGCAGGTGTTGCTTAGGCACGCGTCGGCATGAGCCCCGTCCGGGTCGCGACGGATGAATGCCCTGCGCATGCGCTGCCGGGGGCGATGACCGGCCCGCCCGTGGATGGATGTGTCCGGCCGCGGTGAGGTTGAGTTTCCGTTTGATCATCGCCGTGCTCAGACGCGGTGTGCTGGTGTGGAAGCTGCAATTTTCTCCGGCCTCGAGAGACGTCCGGGATGACGGAATCCCAGCATCCCCCGGTCACGACCAGTCGGTAGGAGGTCGGTCCAGCGGGAGGCGCCGGCGCACGGTGGTCGGACGGCACCTTTATTCGTCAAATTCATATTGTCGTGGCCTTTTGTTAAGTCGCAGATCGCAGTAACGGGGCTTGATTCTGCGCGCTGTCGCTCTTCCTGTCGGGGTATGAGGCGGCGCTGCCGTGAAGCGTCAGGGCTGAGTCTGTCGTGAAGCCGCAATGACGCCGGCAGTGTCGTGGCTCGGCGGACCGTGGGCCAGCCGATGACCTGACGTGACTTGTCCCTTCCCGCCATGTCAACATATACCCTGCGGTGTCCCGTCTTGGCCTGGCCTGGCCTGACCCGACATGGGATCCTCTCCGTCGCCCGGACAGCGACACCGTCGCGTCGGCCCGTCGCCCGACCCCGGCTGCTGTCGCCCGCTCACTTTCTCCCGCCGCCAGGGCCGCCGGTCGCACCGTTGCACCGTCGGCTAATTGCGCCGGCGCCGTGCGTAATTGCCCAGGTGGTACCGACTAACGACCGCTCCGAGCGCACCTCCACCCTCTGTCGCTCTGCCCGGCGCGTTGTTGTTGTTGTGTGCCGCTGCCGGGCAGCTGCCGGGCTGCGGCGCGGCGTCGCGCCCCGCCGCCGGCCCCGCCCTGTGACCGTCCCCCGGCGGTGGCCGCCGCCTGTTGCCGGCCCCGGAGAGAGGGAGGCCCGGCTCGGAATAGCCTGTCCTCGGTGGCGGCGGCGATTGTTCCGGCCTTCCGGGAGTGGCACGGGACCGACCGGCGGACGATCATTGACCCGGCCGTGTCCTCCCCCGCGCTCCCCTCCCTCCCAGCGTGACCCCTCCAGCGGACGGACGGAGATCGACCCGGCCGGCGACGGTCGCCAATTAATCGCCGCCCCCGCCGCCACTGTTTGCAAACGGCCCCGGCCGTCGGCAGGCGGTCGTGTCGGCCCGCTGGGGAGGGGGGGCGCCCGAGGGGAGTGAGAGGGTCGCGAGGCCTCCCCGGGAGAGGGAGGGGGGTCGTCGAGAGGGTCGACGGCTTTCAGGGGTCGCTTGGCCGGGACTAGGAGGAGCCGGGCCGCGTGATGGCCCCAGGCGTTGATCGGCGAGAGCGGTCCCTTTCTGTCGGTTGCTAATGCTGTTTGAGATAGATGCCCTTCGTTATTCATGTGAGCTGACTGGATGTGATGTCTCCAGCTTTAGGCATGGGGTAGTGTGTGCTTGGAATGCCTTGCATGTCCGATTGATCTTAATAGCCTGGTATCAGTGAGCGCTGGGCGGAAATTCCTCCCCGTGCCTGTCTGTGCCCTCGCCACTCCATGCCCATTGGATTTCACATGAATTGTATTTATTCTCGCGAGCTGTGCGCTCCTCACCATTCGGGCTGCAGCTGGCATGCCGGCTGACTGGTAACTCGGCGCTTGCACGCCCGCTTTGCGAAGCAGTGTTCGCCGGCCAACACGAAGCCGCCTGGATTATTCCGCGGTCAACGTCCCTGACGTCCCCTGTGCCCCCGTCCTATCGCCGCCCCATCGCCACTCGGCGGACATTCCGGCCTGGCAGGCCCCCCTGCGGGCAAAACTGGGGTCCGATCTGTCCGTCACTGGTGAAGGCGCGCGCGGGACGGCCCTCCCCTCGAGACCGTGGAGAGGCGAGCTTTTCGCTGTCGAGGCGGTGGTTTTCGGGTGGTGGTTCTCGTACCCTGGACGCGGTATCTCTCCGTCACTGCCCGCCCCCCACCGCGCTCGTCTCCCATCCCCGCAGATATGAGAGTGTGGATCAGCTTCTGGTACTGGATCAAGTCAAGAACGTCGCCTCGTGCGGGTATCATCGAGCCCAGGATCCAGCTCAGG